AGGAATCTTGATTTGCTGATTTCTGTAACTGTCCTCAACTGTCTGCAGTCTCTTCTAACTGTGTTTTTACCTCAGAACATTGAGATCCACAGCTGAGCAATCAGAGGGAGGTGGGTGCAAACAGGCAGGTCGGGGGGGGGGGGGCACAAGGAGGCAGCAGCCTGCCAGGCACGTGGAAAACAATTTGGGGGACACATTTTGCCCCTTTTTTACCCCTTAGGGGTCGTGTTTCTCAGAAATCTCTTTGTGGGGGGGGGGTTTGACATCATGGTAGGAATACACTCCTGTTATTTTGGGTTTCTTGGTGCAGGGGTTTGGCCTGGGCATTGAATGGGGGGGAGGGCATACCCCCCCTTTTACAAAATTGCCTCTCATTTATGTTAAATTTAACAAGTGGGACATAACTACATATTCAAAACACCATCTGAGCAATCAGATATTAAGCAAGTTCATAAGAACCAGTTATCTAGAACCCACATTGTAGAAGTTAAATAACCTAATAAAGGAAACCACTTTTCTACAAATTTGGGGTATATTTCCATAGTGGGTGGAAGTGTGGCTAAAGTCATTGGTGAGGCTGGGCCAGCAGCCTCGCTAAGCTGATCCTACTGGGGTGGCGTCCCTGATGGATTAAAGTACCCTGGCCCTGCTCCTACACCTGACAGACACCCACGTGTCTGGTGCTGGGGGGGATTGTGTTTAAATGCATCAGGGAGGCTGGGCCAGCAGCAGGGCTAAGGCAATCTTGCTGAGCAAACCTCTCGGCATCTGTAAGCGTGACGTCCCACCTCCTCTCCTACCCCTGACAGGCAGCTGCCTGTCCAGTGTAGGAGCGGGAGGGGGAGGAGTATTAGAAGCTACTGTTGAGGCAGGGCTGGGAGGATCACTAAGACGTTACTGCTGGGGCAGGCTCCCTGGTGGCTTTAAGCACCCTGCAACCGCTGCTGCACCTGACAGACAACTGCCTATTAGGTGTAGGAGGTGTGTGTGTGTGTTTGAAGCCATGGGGAGGCTGGGCCAACAGCATTACTGCACCTCACAGGTGGTTGGCCATTCCTGATTTCCTCAACTGTGATTAGCTTTGTGCAGTCTCCTGTAACTTTTTTTTAACCTCAGAACACTTAGCTCTGCAGCTGACCAATCAGAGGGTGGGAGGTGCAAGGTAGCAGCAGCCCGGCAGCCATATAGGAATCAATGAGGTGAGCGCATTTTACCCCTTTTGACCCCCTTAGAGGTTGAATTTCTAAAAAAATCTCCTTAGTGAGCATCTACACCATGGTAGGAGCGCTCTCCCCAAATTTTGTGTTTCTAGGTCCAGGGGTTTGGCCTGGGCGTTGATTTTACTGTGAGGGAACTTTCTTATATATATATAGATGTTGTCTGAGGTTCTATGGATCTCTGAAGCTAGCTCACTGCTTTGTGGCTTTTTATTGGTCTTCACATGCTGTTGTTGCAGTCTGGATTTAATCAAAAGTTATGGGAATTATGGTGGAATCTAATTCTGGACACCATAAACCCAGAGCTGGAAGACTGGGCGGAAGTGGGGGATGTGTAAAAAAATAGCTGTATTAGCCAATATTTATGGATGTTTCAGAACAAAAATAATTTTTTCTTCATTACCCATGTCACGTATGTTAGATCAGAATGGTATGTGTGTATGTGTGTGTGCATAGGTGCTGTGTTACAAGTTTTGATCAGACCCTGACAAATTATGATCTGTCCTGCTTGCAAATTATGATCTGTCCTAAACTTAAGAGCAGTGTATTTTATTGTTTTAAATGTTTTATTTTCATCTGTAATTGAGACTACTGAAATTGTTGTACACCACCCTGAGCCCTATGCACAGGAGAGGGCGGTCTATAAATTGAATTTATAAATAAATAAATAAAATGTTTAGGGGAGGAAAAATTACTGTGCAAAAAGTAACAGTGTGCATATGTTCCCATTTGCAGAATTTAATAGATGAATCGAGGAGAAAAATTAGGTCAATGGAAGTAAAATTAACAGAACCCTTCATCCTTGAAGTTCATCAAACGAAGATGCTAGTTCTGCTTTCCTGCAAACATTATGTACTTTGTAGCCTGTAGCACAAAATGCCAACTGGCATAACAGAAGGAAACACACCCAATTAATAAGCCAGCCTATCTCCAGTAGACGTCTTTGATAACCAGTGAGTAAACATAATTCATTAGAGGATCACCCTAGGCAAGGGCAGCTATGCATTGGGCAAGTTCTGCAAATGCTCTGAGGTCTTATGTAATAAATTTGTCAGTAATATTACTGCCTGCATTTCTTACCTTCTTTGCAGACACATTACAGTACACAGCTAATTTAAATGTTTGATTTAAAAATGTTTTCTAATTAGCAACAGATAACTGTGTGCTAATTATCAGTTGATAATTAGATCTGAGAAAATGCTTTCACAAATGCTTGAGCTAAACTTTTCCCATAAAGGGAGGCAAAAATGGCTCTCATAAACACATCAAAAAGACCCATCTGGACAGCACAACCTGCACCTACATACATCAGGTTCTGTTCTATGCACTACTTTTGCAGTGGGCTTTTAAAAATGCACTCCCAAGAACACATTCCTGGGAGTAAGCCCCGCTGAATAGGCCTGACTGGGAGTCTGAGTAGCCCTGTTTAGAATTGCTATTTCCCCTTGAGCTCTAAAAATATACGTGCCGTCCTCGATTCCAGATATAATTCTCATTTTCCTCATGGGTAACCCTTTCCCTTCGTGGTTGCTTTCAGAATGTAGTTTAAATGCGTGGTGCTACCGTGCGTTGTTGCGCGTAGGCAACTGGGCCAGTTTTGCAACCCTCCGGGCTGACGCCGAAGCCGCCCCGAAATGGCTTTGCACGGAGCATTTTTGCCTTTGAGGGTGGGGGTGAACCCAGAGCACAAGCTGCCGCCTCCCAGCGTTATTTTCAGCCTCCGTTCCGACAGCCCGCTCGCCTGTGATGTCAATTCGGCAAGCTGACTAAAGAGCGCCGAGCGCGCTGCACAGTCTGGGCAGAGTCTCCACCTCCCCGCTGGCCTCGCTGGCTCTCCATTGGGCCATTACGTAAATGTCAGCAGCCGTCTCTCCTCTCCTCCTCCCGCTATGCCTAGTTATGCAATACCTAGCGCATACATCTACTGTACCACACACACAGCTCCAACGGGGCTGGGGGGAGGAGAAGGAAAGGGGGGGGGGACGGAGTTCAATTCAAGTCTGGTCCTGCCCTTGTTACTTCCCTCCCGGAAGCATCCATTGGCTGCTCTCCGGAAAGCCCTGAGCTCTGATTGGAGCTGGGCGACCGCCAATCATTGCATAGGCTGGCATGAGGATTGTACGTTGTGAGAAGTGTACAGTATTGACCTACTAACACAGATCCCTTTCCAGTGGCGGCGGCGGCGGCGGCAACAGCATTAGCAGCCCCGGCAAAAGACACACTCTCGTCTCCTGCCTGGCTTAGCTGCTCACTCCCGCCTGACACGGGATCGCTTTGGGGCTGCCAAGAGAAGGCAGCGCGCTCGGTTAGAAGGGGTCTTCAGGGGGCCTTCCCCTCAGGCTGAACACTTTTCATCGTCGGCTCCACTCCCAGTAATCCGCTTCAGCGGGAAGCAAGCAGATGCCAAAGGGATCTTCTGAGACGGCAAAGGAGATTGGCAAGGTATAGAACTAGACATTGCAATGCGTTACTGTGGGGTTGTTTCCCACTGGACACTTTTGTTATCACTCTCCGTGTTAATCAGCCTTTCTTACCTTGCTATCTATAGACATGTGGTTCTGGGAAGAAGAAAAAACAAACCGCCCCTGCCTGTCTGTCGTCTAATCTCTCTATTATCCTAGTAACTTTTCCCCGCACCCTTTGGTACGTCAACACTGGGACTCGCCACCTTAAGGTGGCTGCTTTGGTTGCAGCGCCCCTTTGAACAGCTCGTCGACTCGGAGCAGTGGCTGCCGCCGCTTGTTCACTGGTTACATTGTTGTTGCATAATATGTCTCCTTGTTTGAGGGGAATTGATGTTTTGGAGAAGAGGGGGGAGGGGGGGAGGGGAGCCTAACATTGAGCCAGAGCTGGGAGAAGGACGCTTATGGCCTGAGGAGGAGTGTTGGAGGAGATGAATAAGAGAAAGTTGGCATTCTGTATTGTCATTTGGGGATAAAGGGGGGTTGTGGCTTTTTTTTTAGTATTCGAAAAAAATGCCTGCTTTCAGATTTGTATATATGTAGTTATAAGAGGGTTTTTTTAATATATATATATATATATATAGATATATATGTATATATATATATCGACACGCACACGTTTCCCCGTCTGAGTGTCTAAACAGCCCGAAGGGGGTTGATGGGACTTGTTCTTTCAGAGATTGCATAATCTGTCCACTGTGAATTACGGGTAAACGTTTGATATTCTGTGAGCGTGCCGCGCTTTGTTAATTGTGGTGCAGCATTCGAGATTTCAGTATTGCGCTACCTTTGTTACTACTTTATGGCTCAGAGAATGTGCTTTTGAAAAAGCCGAATGACTGATGGGTTACACTTTTTAAAAGCACAGTCTTTAAGAACGGTAAAACCAACACTCATAATAATCGCCTTGTTCCCCTAGCTTGGTATTTGGTTTGTATGTGTTCATACTATCCAAATTCAGTAAGATTCCTCTTTCTCCCGATCGGTGACTGGTTTTCAGCACTGCGTTTCCTGAGCGTTCCTGGAAATGTTGCATTATGTAACCGCAGAATTTGCTGGCAGTCGAGCTAGGAAGCTAATTGTGCGTTTTTATAAATCTCGCCACAGAGAAACTAGAGCAATCTCAGTCTTTAAAATGTCAGACTAACAGATTTCCAAAGTCGTTCTTGTCCTTCTTCCCCGCCCTCCCCCCGGCTCCCCGCCTCCTCAAGAAAAGTGGATCGCTGTGTAAGTAGGGAGGCAGCACGGCTTTTTGAATGTGTGCCATGTCCCTTAAAATGAAAATTGCGCACGTCTATATTTAGTCCTATCACATTTGAGCAATTGTGGCTTCATGGGCTATTTCTGGTCTTTTCTCTAGAGCTGTGCAAATAGGCGTTCAAGGACATTTGCTTGCGTTTTGAACTCCACGCCCTCGGAGACGTTTTGATAAGGCTGGTATTTTTAGGAAGGCATTTCGCCCAGACATCAAGTGGTTTAGTAGGTGTTGGCTTTCTTGTATGATTTTCTCTCCCTCCTCCCCTCCTGCTCTTGCAAAAAAAGAAAAAGAAAAAGACCTTTAGGAGATTATTACGCATTTCGGGAAAAGCGAGATCGTGTCTGATCTCATCGCCAGTGTAAACTGCAATGAACAACGGCGAAGTCAGCCTGACAGCAAGGGTGTGTTTTTATTCCAGCGTTGTGATCTCTGAAGACTGATCTAGGTCAGTATTACATGTCGAATGACCGTAGTTCTCATGGAAGATCATAACCTACGTCGTAGTATATTCTCTCCCCTTCCAAATGTTTGCCTTACTTTTGTAGCAGTTTGGCCCTGCTGAGGGGTGGTGGCCCCGATCCGGAGTCACTTCCAAATCCAGTTAGAACGCTCCCGAGGAACAGGGCAGAGAATCGGATCCAACATGTTTTGTTTTCTATCGGTGAACTCTTTTATGGGTGCAGGTGTGAATTCCAATCCAAACTCCTTCCGAGGTGTGTCACACAGGCTATTCCCCGGATTTAAGGTGCACACCGTGACCCCCTTTTGGAATCGATCTGGTGGCTGGTGCATAAACCGGGCGGGGGGGATGGGGGCGGGAGCGGTCCGTCGGCGGTGTCCGATCGAGGAAAATTCCGCTTCGATTCTCAAGCGCTTCTTTTTTCTCCCCGGGGCGTCCGTGGGGGTGAGGAGGGGTGCCGCGGCGGGACCCGAAGGGAGGGCTCGCCGGAGCCTTCGAGGCGTTGGTTGTTGTGACGGGGAAGGGAGCGCGCGCTGGCTGCCTGGCTGGCAGAGAGGGCTGGAGGGCGCTGCCGCCGCCGCCGCGCTTCGCATTCCTTTGTTCTGGAAGGGGGAGCGAGACGAGGCAGCGCTCCAGTGGGGCGGGTGGGGGAGAGCGGGAGGCAGGCTGGCCCGAGCAGGGCAGGCCAGAGGAGTAAATAAGGCAGGAGAACAGTTGTTTTGTGTCCTGACAGGGAGCGAGAGCAGAACACGCCGGCCGGAGGGAGGGATGCGTCTCCAGTCACGTAGTGTGTGTACTCGCTGCTTGACGCGGGGCGAGAGGAGGGAGGGCGGATGGGCAGAGCGCTCCTCTCCCTCTTTCCCCCCGCCCCTCTCTCTCTCTCTCTCTGCCCCTTCTGGCTTAGGGATGGAACTGTGTGAAGCCAGTCAGGCTTCGCTTTGGCAGCCTGCACGGCTTTGCCCGGCCAAGACTTCTCTCAGACTTTAGTGGCCTCGGCTTGCGTGTCTTTACTTTTCATGAGCCCAAGCCTAGACTGGATTTCTTTTGTTTCAGAAAATGTAAACTGTGTGGTAGAAAGCCCCAAATACTCTGGACTCTGTCTGAAGGAGGCCTGTTTGCCAGCTTCCTCCCATGGTGTAGTTGCTTCTTCTTAACAAAATTTCAAGCCCCTCCAATTTTCCCACTGTTCCCTTCCAGGGCTAAAGCTTTTCTTCAGATATGTGAGATTTGTTAGTAAGCTGGTAGAATGCCATGGATTGGGGGGGGGGGTGAGAGAGAATTTCTGTAGCATTAAAAATGTGCCACTGGACTCAAACTTTGTTCTGTTGATATGACAAAGTTATTGGTGTGAGGGAGTGAAGTGACAGGAGACTTGAGGGGTACACATTGACAAATCCTGTGGCATACTGGGGATAGTATTTTCACCATGCACACACAAAGAGAGAATTAACTACCACAACCTCTGGTATTATTAGTTCAAAAATATTCAGTGCTTGTATATACAAGTTTGGGGATCCCCCACCCTCCTTCCAACAGTAGCTATAAAATAATTGGTATTCCACTGGTGTTAATGTTGCCATGAAAACGGGTCTTAGCAGACTAACAGAAGAGCCCAGGCATTTTTTAAAAAGATGTCCCATGGAGCTTAGTGGGACTTGCTCCCAGTTAAATGGACACAGAATTGAAGATTAAGCATGACCCCAAGTTGTTAGCCATGGTAGTAATAGCTACAGGCAGAGCACAAATGTTTGCATGGTTTTAAAATGAGCACATTCCACTGGTGGTAAGAGACAGTTATAACTTATTGCTCCCACTTGAAATGCCAAAGTAGTTATTATTCCCCTATGGAAACAGAATATAATCACTCAGTGGCAGCGTACATAGCTAATGATAAAAATCCCAGCAAGGGTATACTTATGACATTTCTATTTGATATCCTTTTATATTTTTCCTGTGGTATATTAAAATTATTTGAATACTTCTGGTTATTTTTTTCTTCCACTATCTGACCTTTGCTGTTTTTATTAGAATTTCTGATACTTTCAGTTTTAGTGAGTTCCCTAATTTATTCAAAATATGGTTGCACTTAACATTTTAAAGAATGTCAAGAAATCTTTGCCACAGGCTTCCCTGGATTGCCCACTGAACTGAGCAGGCAGCTTTGCTGTTGATTTTATTGTCCTAATGCCAGGCCAGCGGCAGCCCAGTTTTAAAGAAAAACACTAAATGCCCCCTGTTATGTATCAAATGTTGTATTGCAGGGAGAATTTAGACAAATATCCCTGGAAGCATGGCTCTGTGCCTTTAAACTGAGATGAAAATTGTTCTGTGCTAGGCCAGTGGCTACTGGAACAAATGCAAATATATTACTATTTAAAGACATTTAAGTTAGGCCTTTAGGGCTCATCCCCCCCCCCCCTTTTGGAATCATGAGGAAAACTGAAGCTCTTGTAGTCAAGTGAATAAGGATGCATTCCTTTGTTATGGTTTAAATTATACACATAAAACGTTTTACACATACTTTCTTTCAAACACCTGTACCACTCTTCTGAGATTTGCTAAGGTTTGTGCCTAATTGAAAAACAATTCATAATGCTCGACAGGCTCTTAGAAAAGCAACAAAGTGTCAAAACAGCATTACTTGAATGGCGCTTTCCAGGCAAAGATTGATCTTTCATTCTGCAACCAAAATTTGGCAGGAGTCAAGAATAAGGAAGGAAGGAAGCATATTAGTATTCCCTACTCAACCTCACATATAGTTGGGATGGACCTGTGACTTTAGCTAATCCATGCAGATGTTTCTTCACTGGTGTAAGATGACAAGCTCTTGGTCTTACTATTATATTCCTGTCTTGCCTTTCTTGTGCTTTTGTCCATCGCTTGCATGTCTGCCTGTTCAAATTCTGTCAGATATTTTCACCCATTGGACTCAGAAGGCTTCTTCATGTCTGCTTCCTTATCCATGTAGTACAGTGTATATCCTTTCCAGAGTTATGGTCTCTGCTCTCTACAACTTTAAATCGTTAATTTTAGTCTCATACTGCCATTTTTCACATTGTCCAGTATTTACAGCCTGTAAATACGCATGATGACAGAGTTTGAGAATACACTTTAAAACTCACTTTAGTTCTGGTTTGTTGTACCATAAATAGAAACAAATTATTGGCACATGTCTTGTTTATTTTGTCCCTAATGTTGATTGTAAGATGGCAGACCTTGCAAGACTATATCTTATGCTCAGTTATTGTGACCAGGTTTTTAAAAATATTAATCAGTTGAACTGGGAACACTATTTCCCTTGTTCAAAAGCTAGTCGAATCCAACTCTAGGGGGTGGTGCTCATCTCCGTTTCTAAGCTGAAGAGCCAGTGCTGTCCAAAGATTTCTCCGTGGTCATGTGACAGGCATGACTAAACGCCGAGGTGCATGGAATGCTGTTACCTTCCCACCGAAGCGGTATCTATTTATCTACTTGCAATTTCTTGCTTTTGAACTGCTAGGTTGGCAGGATTTGGGGGCAGAGATGGGAACTCACTCCATCATGTGGCACTCGGGTCTTGAACTGCTGAACTACAGACCTTCCAGTCTGCAGCTTAGTGTCTTAACCTCTGAGCCACCACGGCTCACTGTAAGATAACACAGAGCCATATACATTAATTTTCTTTTTTCCTGACTTCCACAATAAACACAAATTAAGGATTTTTCACGTGTACTTCTTGGAAGGTCTCGCACGCATCAGTTTTGCCAGATAAAAGCTCATTAGCAAGAGATAATGGACAGCAAGTTTCCCTTAAGTGGTACCCCACAGAAAGCTTCACATATGACAGTGCTGCTGAACATTATTTCTGTCACTCTAGGTGACCTTTCTTTGGAAAATGCCACATGGGCAGCAGACTCTCATCACATGCAATTGCAGGAAAGTACATCAATCATTTAGGACATATATAGTGTTATCTGTCTTGTTTGGGGGGGGGTTGCTGCTTGAACACAACATCTCTTTGATACATCATAATGGGTTATGGTTACTCCAGTATACGTAGTAAGCTGAATATCTGAATATATTTCCTGATATGCTATGATTGTACATTGTTTATATACTTGCATATAAACAGTGGATTATATAATCACTGGAATCAACTACATTGTAGTTTTAGTAGGCTGTCCTGCAACTGAACTGTAACAGAGTAACACACCATAATGAGATAGCACAACCTAGTTAAACTTGAATTTTCTGAATATTGAATATACAATATTTAATGTAGCCAGGGCTGAATTAATCACCCAAGTGATCCAAGCAGCTGTTGGAATGTCACATTGGCAGAGGGCACCAACTGAGAGGCATGGCTTTTGCCTGTTGTTGCATCCCTGACTGGGTTCAAGCTAGGCTGTAGAGGCTGTCTGCAGTCCACCTTGGTGAGGCATAGTAGGAGATTTGCACTCCTTCCCCATTTGTGCCACTGAGCTCCAACAGGACCCAGAGACCCTTTGCACATCCTTGGACATGATGGGGGTACATGATAGGACAATTTATGCTGCTGACAGCTGGCTCCAAGATTAATTTATTTGGAGCTGGGCAGCTGCAACATAAGCGGGGGAGGGGGGAGTCACCTCCTGTGTCATGTAGTGACTGCTTGGAGCAGCAAAAAAGAGTTGAGCTTTCCCTGATTGTAGCTGGATCTGCATAACTGTATTGCATCCATGTGAGACCCTAGTGCCACGTCATGTGACAGAGTGAGCTCCCGTCTCTGGCTCCAGCTCCTGCCAACCTAGCAGTTCGAAAGCAAAAAAACTGCAAGTAGATAAATAGGTACCTCTTCGGTGGGAAGGTAACAGCATTCTGTGCACCTTGGCATTTAGTCATACCAGCCACATGACCACAGAGAAGTCTTCGGACAGTGCTGGCTCTTCAGCTTGGAAACAGAGATGAGCACTGTTCCCTAGAGTCAGATTTGACTGGCTTTTGAGCAACGGAAACCTTTACCTTTT